TCTCTCTCTCTCTCTCCTTTCTTCTTCTGCACAGCCAAAGGAGAGCGCAAAGCACCCCCCCTGCGCGCGAGCGCGCCCTGCTTCTTCTGTCGGTTGTAAGACTTTGCTAAGTGCTGAGGCCGGAGGATTGTCAACACTTCAGCCCCTAGCTACTATATTGTCCCCCGGCCTCGTCACAGCTCGGTGCCTGCTCTGTGGGCCTTCTCGCAGCGCATGCCCGCGTTCGCAACTCGCTGAGCAGTTCTGTGCCCCCCACTAGCAAACACAACAACTCTGGCTGTCCCCCTGCTGCTCTGTCTCTCTCTCTCTCTCTCTTTCTCTCTCTCTCCCTGCATTCAACCCAGAAGCCCAACGTCCAAACTCTTCAACACCGCCAATACTGCCTTCAATCAGCATCCACCGGTACTGCCGCCAGGTATGCTCCGCGAGGATTCACTACAAAAGCGCGGTGGTATTGGTAACGACGTCAGAAGAAGCACGGTGCTCACCGCAGCTTCGAATGTGGTTTCTGCTCAAATCAACACTAAAACCCGAAATTCTTCTGATGTTCCCGCTTTTCAAACAGCCTGAGACAATTCAACCTCGAACTTCTTATCTCGAAACCCACAAACCCAAATTCGAGAACCTTCCCACGTCTGCGAGAAGGCCGCCCAGCAGGGGAGCATCCCCTGAACTAGGCGGTGGAGCAAAGACTTCGGGCTGAAAGAGGGTAGGAATTGGAAGGCAAGGGCGCATGAATTTGTCTAGCGTATCCTTTTTGAGATGGGCTTGGGGGTGAAGGCCACACCCTTAAAGCTTCTCGCGGAAATCTGATGCACGGTGGAATGTTCTAGTCTCATGCACCCGCTCGGAGCTTTGACTGCACGTTTTTGCCCGTCCCCCGTCTGAGTGTTCGACTCTTGGCGTCCCGTGGCGCAAACACTCACGACTCACAAATCTCGAACTTTGCACCTCTCAAGCCTCCAAAGCTCCAGCCTTTGGTTTTAGATTAGACTCATGGAGTCACGCAACATCCTTTGCTCTATAGTGCCAGGCCTTGGCAACAGCCATTCAATCACCGGCTTTGAGCCCAAGCGTCTGGTGCGTGAAGGTAAAATCGAGATGTTGTCACGCGGCTGCCACTCAGGTACACTTGGGGGATTTGTCGCCAGCCTCGAGAAATCCTCATGAAGCCTGTCGCCTCCTGAAGACTTTAACAATGTTCAGGCGCAGCCGTCGATCCCAGCCCGACAGCAGCCCTTTTTCCCCAAGCGTGTCCGGTCATGCTTGAGTTTAAGTGACTGCAGGCGTCTCCCCGTTGAGGTTGCAGAGAACCTCTCGAACACCTGAAGACCATGAGAACATTGAGAGAACATGGGAGGTGGTTTGGCAACCGTAGTTGAGGCCAGATAAACTAAGCCATCTTGTGAAACTTGGAACATGTCGAGGCATCACTTGCATTTCGCGAAGGGCTCTTCCAAGCAGCAGCTCAATCTTCTGACCTGGTATGGGATCATTCGTCTTGCACCTTTTTTCGGCTTCAGACATGTAGCGGTTGAGCGCTGACTTCGGGTCGACGATGCGGTGGTACCAGCACGGGGGCCGTCGCTCAATTCAGCTATAGCTACAAAGAAACACAAAGCATAACGACAAAATAAAGTAGTGCTAAGGTTTGCTTGATAAGCGGATGATTTCTTTCGGCTCTCCTGGAAACCCTGCAGAAGCTGCCTCACTATGAGCTCCGATTGCTTGAGGCTCCAACTGCTTCTTGCGCTCTTGGCTGCGGCTCTTCTCCCGGCCACGGCTTCGGCTGCGTCTCCCGCGGCTCCTTTCACGTCGGGCTTCAAAGGTCTGTGATACACATTATAATACAAAGCTAAGTTCTGAGTCCGCCACAGAAACCTGAATGACTCAAAGTCCCACTTCCCGAACTTCCTCCAACGCAGTACGTGCCCCTAATCATTCAACCATTCCTGCAAGTCCTGAGGGTTTTACCTTCCCGCATACTCCCTTGGAAACTGGAGGCACGAACCCTTACCGCTCCGGCTGCGCCGTCGTCGGCTACGGCTCCGATGTCGGTCGCGGCTGCGGCTGCGGTGCCGGTCCCGATTGTCCTATTCTGTGAACAGTGTACACCTACTACAATATAATACACTGCAACATAAGGAACCCAAAGGCAAACGGCCGTTGGAGCTCCTCGCCATGGAGTTCATGGGGGCTACAGCAACCGAACTCTGAAGCCTCGCACTGCTCCAGGCTACACCTATAGTTTTCAGCTCCAGGAGCAGCGAAACCGGTTTCCAAACACGTGCATATCACAGTCGCTGTCTAGTTGACATTCTGAGCCAACGGCCTATAAGACCTGCACTCTGACACGTCGTAGGTCTCTCCATTATCAAATGTCCATCAGCATCTCAAGTTCTGAAGCCTACTTACCGCGTGGATCTTTGTGTCTGTCACAGCCTGTCTTCGGCTTCGGTCCTTGTCCTTGCCCTTGCCACCGCCCTTTCCTCAGTTCGGCTTTGGCCTTACATGCCTTCACTGCCATGAAACGTACAAATCTCTGATCGTGGACGTCAGTCCTTGTCATGCACTGGTGCCAAAGGTCTCTTGCCCAAGATCTGGCCCGAGGGTTGCAAGCCTCGTTGCCGCAATGCAACCTAGCAGCCCTCGCCCTTTTCGCCGCCCTTTTGCGGACGATCGGGCGGATCTGGCAAGTTCTCGTTGTCAATCAGCGGCCTCGCGATCTTGCCTTGCGACGACATCTTGTCATTGTGTCAGAGAGACGGTGTGTACCGCTGGAGAACAGACAAGTGAAGAACCCCTTCTCAGAAAGCTCTAAAGATTTCAATTACATTGACTGTTGCTTCCGCGGCTTCATTGCTGCTGGCTTTGGTGTGCTCAGAAACTCGTATCACGTGACCTCGTCGCTATGCTCAGATTTGACATGTTGGATAGCATGTCAACAATGAAAGCATCGAGCCTTCAACCTGGAAGGGTGCTTCTACTTCCTGGAAACCGACCACAGCCACATAAGGTATCCCTGGCTCAGCTATGGCTATGGCATGGGAGGACTGGACACAACTTTATTTGTCCACTTGATTTCAATGGCTGTGACCTCATGCCCGGTTGCCCCCATGGTCAGCTACGCCGCAGGTAATGCAAGCACCCGCGGTGTTGCCAGGCAAGCTGCAAATCATCGACGATGGATTGGCGCAGTTGTCCAGGTGCTTCTTGATTTTCACCAAGACCTCATCCTTGTCCTCCGCCCGCTTCTCGATGATTTCACGCAGCTTCGACTTTGCATCATCGTCCAGGCGATACTTCTCCATCACCTTCTCAGCATCCGACAAGTCCGGCAGCTCTTCAATCTCTCCCTCCAACAGCTTCCCAACCTCCAGCTGGGCACTCGGCCCGACAATGACATGAATCGGTTGGCTTCCGACCTATACTGAACAACATGAGAAGCACTACTCAAAAACAAACTTTCTGGGGTGGGCAGGACAAGCAGCAAGCAGGGTCGCCATGGCGCTGGCACGCTTGCAGTACTTCAGATGCTGCTCGATGGTGTTTAGATCCTTGTGCATGCGGTCAATCTCGTTCTCCTTCTTGCGCCGGTGAGTAAGCTCCTAGGCAACACAACGTTGGTGGTCGAGTCCTGAACTGGTGACCACCCTGGGGTCTTTCTGGTACACAAAAAGATGCCTTAGGAAGTGCAGGTACTTGAGCGGGGCGGCCACAAAGGAAGAACTCTGACGTGAAGACTTAGGTGTCACTGGTGGCGTATGACAACCAGATAGAAAAAGCGGAATGAGCAGATTAACAAGTAAAGCCAGTTAACACGTCAATTGGAGAACATCGCTCCGAAAAGTGCATAACACTCCGAAGCCGGACTCTTGCACAATAAACCAAACCGTCATACCACTTGATCATAGGGACCTATGCGAAATGGATCAGATAATCAGGCTATGAACCTGCTCATGAGCCTTCTAACATGCGCTGAACTGTTCGCGCCACGTCTCGGTAAGCCTGGAGGCAACTGGGTCATCCAGCCTGAACTTTCGAGCTAGTCGCTCCACATCTTTGTCCGGCTTCACTTTGCCGATGAA